AAACACAAAACCTTGGAGGCCACAGACACTCAGGTCCCCTGGTCTTGTTATTGATGCCTGCCTCAGGGGAATCTGTTTTAGCCCCTGTGAGTGACCATCTGCCGGTTATCACTGCAGGCTTGGGTTTGAGTAAGAGTCCTCTGAAGTCCCAAGTGTTGGAGACTTGGACCCCAGCCTGTGGCACTGCTAAGAGAAGGCTTAGTGGGAAGAAGTCAGGTCATTGAGTGGGGTGCTCTTGAAGGGCTATTGAAATCCCTGACCTCTTCTTGCCTCTGTCTTTGCTTCCTGGTAAACAGGTGAGCAGTTTCCTCTTCCTCATGCTCTCCCCAAAGTGACCTGGCCAGCTGAGCATGGATGGGCCTAAAACCATGGGCCTAAACAAGCACTTCCTCCTCATACACCGATGATCTCTGTCACAGTGACAGGGAGCTAATGCCATATGTACAGTGGAGCCTGGCTGACTGTCCTCCAGTTTGACTCCGTCTTAATGTGTGTTGTCCTGCTGGGAAAGGACCCATGGGAGCACTATGACCTCACTACCGTGTTTCAGCAATTTAACCCAGTGTTACGCCTGTGAGGGGATACACTGTCCTGCACAGGGAAACAGCAAACCCCACTGAGGTCACCCTGCAAAGGAGGGGCCTGTAGGATTCCACCCCTCCTTCCTTACTGCAGTGGGGAGAGTGGAGGGCTTGGTGATTGCTCCCACCCCTCAATGCTAAAGACAGAGCTGGGCCAGGACTGCTCATCTCCAAATAAAGCCCGGGGCTTCTCTACCACTTTCAGAGCAGAGTTTACTGTTCAGGTTGCAAGCTTCCCAGATACAGTGATGTTCCTGTCTTAGATGGTCACACAGCAGTGTGGACAAGCTTTTTGACTTCAGGGAGGTCCAGCCATCAGCCCACACCTAGAAGGATCAAGAGTGGCTAGGGCTTCCTGACTCCAGGAATGTGTGCATGGGTGGGCTGGGCTGGAGGAAGGCCACAGATTCTGGGTTTCAGGGCTCCTCTGTGCCCAGTGAAACCTGTGGATAGGGCAGTTTGGAAACTCCTGGGGCATTATGTAAAGGCTGTTTTGCTCCAGCCAGTCCTACAGTCTTGCCTCACGCTAGAGGAGGAGCAAGCTCCAGGGTGGCCTCAGCTGAGCCTTGGGCTCTGCCCTCCAGGGGGCAGTGCAGCTGCATAGGAAAAGGAGGGAAATAACTTTTAATTAACGGTTAAGAATAGGAATCGGAGCTGGTGAACCAGCATCTCTTTAGCTTTGGCTGATTGTTCTTGATTACGCTTGATAAAAATAGCCTGGCTGTGTGTGGTGTATGGCCAACCCGCCGGCACACTCCCACCATGGACCAAAGACGGTATCCTGGGCCCCTACCTGCTACTCATCTAGAGGGGGACCTGCCGAGGGCCGCCTGGAGCCCAGGCACTTACAGATGTCCCCAATGAGCACACTGGAGGGGAGATGTGGAGCTCAGCTCGAGGGCAGGGGCTCTGCACTCATGGGGCTCAATCCCTCCTGCCCTCATTGTTCCAGGAGACTGCAAGTCTCTACCCTTCCCTCATGGGTTGTGTGGAGGCAAATCCGCCCTCGGGATGAGCTCTACATTGTTGTGTGCCAAATCCAAGTTCTGTCATAGGTTGAAGTGTGTCTCTGCAGCTGCCTGTCTGGGGCATCCTGATTACTTCTGTGTCCCAACAAAGCTTCCTTCCTCCCTTACCTACCCATCACAGACTGCACGGGGACCTGGCAGGAGTCTTCAGTGCGGCTGGTGTGTATAAGGGAAGAGGAAGTTCAGTTCGATTGCAGGCAGCTGCTCATGCCATACTGTGCCCAGAACCAGAGGTACAACTGGTCCACCTGCAGAGCTGCCTCCTCCTGAGCTCAGGTGAAGGGACGTCCCTGGGGCTATTGTGGAAGATCACTGGGTTCCAGGGACACTTTGTTGCTCTATGCCTCTCTGAGGGACATGGCTACAGTGCCACTGGGTGGAAACCCTCACGTAGTGCTGTGGTACCTGGGCCTCATGCTGCAGGATGAGCAGTGGGTTCTGGGGATTGGGCACCATTGTCCTCAAGGGCCCTGGGCAGCAGCCTGGCAAGTGCTAGAGCCTCATCCTGGAGTCACAGAGCTGCCTGCTCTGGGTTCTGCTAAATCTGACCTCAGATGATTCTCATGGATTGTAAGAGACAGAATTCACCCATTTGGGACAAGAGCTCACTGCCTCTCCTCCATCTCTGAGCCTGCCTATCTGTGGGGTCTCCTGTCCTTCCTGGCCAGCACAGCCCTGGAATGAGCAACATGGCATGACCCCATTTTCAGAAGAGGAGACTGAGGTTTGGGGCAGGATTGGGAGCCTCTGAGGCTCCTTCCAACCCTAGCAGCCTGCAATGGCCACTCTTCTCCTGTACATGTGCCCAAGCCCTCAGGCCACAGTGGCATGTCATCTAGGGATGAGCCCAAAGCTGGACTCACTTGGCCTCCTTCTGCCCTGGTTCCCATGGTGACCACATAGTCTGAGGCATCCTCATGAAGGGAGGTGGGGGGCCCTGAAGTCAGGAGAGCTGTCTTGTTTCTGCAATCCAACATTTAGACTCCAGTGGCTGGTACGGACATAAGGCTGTGTCTCTGGGAGCAGCATCTTGCCCTGGGGCACAGGTGGTCCTGGCTCAGCAGAGGATCCAAGCTCTGTGAGGTTGTTCCAGAATCCCCCATCACTGATGCCTGGCTGAGGAGCGGGTTTGTGCCTGAGGGTGGTGCCAGCTTGGCTCCTCACTACGAGGTCACTTCGGGGGCGTTTGCTGCTTTTGGGGGATAGATGCCCTCCTGGGATTGCTGTGGAAAGGCATGATCTGGACCGGGGCCCTAGTGCGGGTCTGGCATCAACCGTTCCCACCAACTGCCAGTTGAAAGTTCCCGTTTATCCCAGGAAGTGGTTGCTAGGCTGGGCTCTGCTCCTCAAGCTTTCTAACGGCCTGTCCATCTGGGCTGAGTCTATTCCAGGGATGCAGGCCCTGCTGGGATCTTGGGGCCTGGGTATCACTGTTCCTGTAGACCCAGGGCAACAGCTGTCTCCTCAGAGCCTGGCCCTGGTCTTCCTATTACCTGCTTGGAGGAAGTAACAGAAGTCCAGAGTGGGGCCCCTTCCAGCTGTCTGGAGGCCTCCCTGGCCAGGCACCAGCTCTTTCAGGGCAAGCAGCCTGGCCAAATTCTCCACCCCTCCTGGCTGCCCTGCTGCTGAAAGGGAAGGACCCACCTGGTCTACAGAGGGTTGGCACAGCTCCTGCTGTCTGCCCACTAGATGGTGCTGTGGGCTTGCAGCCTACAGCCTGTGATCCCAGAGATGTAAGGCAGGAGGCACATGCTGGCAACCCAGCTCTGGCCCTTCTAGAGGCCTTCATGTTAGGTAAAGCAGTGTCCTCCCTCGCCCCCGTCCTCACTTGGCAGGCATTTCTGGGGTCCATTCCCAGCTGTTCTCAGTGGACTGTGCGCCTGGAGCCCTATGTCCTGGCCCATCCCTGGGTCCTGCCCCCTCATGGTTTGGCTGGCGACCAGAGGCTGACTGGGACCTGATTGGAAAGCACTCACCAATGTGGCTGGTGCTGTCCTTGTTATTATTATGGACACATGCCTCCCTTTACTATGTCCTTCCGGGAGAGGTTGGTACAGAGTAACTGGCCATGTGGCCATGGGAGTGAGGGACGACAGGTGCTCTGGAAGCCCTAGATCTTCTACTCTGTTACAGCCAGGCCAGGCATCAGTAGGCCGTCTATCTCTTCAGGGCTAGACTGGACATGTGTCCACAGAGGGTTTCAGGAACAGCCTGGGTCAAAACACTGCTTGCTCACCCACAGGCTCAGGAGTCCAAAAGGATGGTCTGGTAAGCAGGAGGATGGATGAGGAGGCTTGGGCCCCACAGACTGTTGGGAGTACCAGAAGTGGTCACTATATCTTCTGGGCATTGAGGGACCCCTAAAAGAAGGGACCTTCTCTGAGGCACAGCTGTTTCATGGGGGAAGAGACGGGAATCTTGTGATTGACAGTTTTGTCTCTAGGATGTTCCCAGGGAGATGGGGCAGGGTTTGTCCCTCTGACCCACGGCTGGAGGCCCACAGTAGACTATGTCACAATTAGGTGAATACATGCATGTCTAGCAAGAACCCTCGACCACTAAGTTCCCAGTGGCCAGTATGTGGCCCAGTCCTGACAGTTTCCTTGTCTACTAGTGGGAGCCATGAGGAGCCAGGCACTGTCCACTGGGACCAAGGCAGAAAGATCCCTGCTTCAGAGACACACCTGACCCTGGCCAAGGCTCATCTGGGCACCTCCCAAGCAAAGACCCATTGCACACAGTCACACACACCCAGCCTCCCCAAGTGGTGTGATAACCTGAGAACTGTTGGTCACCGTCTCCAGACTTCACAAAGACTCCTTGCAAGGTGTCAGCCACTACTCCATCTTAGGGAACACTGGGCCCCTGCCTTTCCTAGGGCCACCTTTCTGCAGGAGTGTGTGGCCCTATTATTCCCCATCAGATAGGGCTGGCATAGTGTCCTCTAAGTCAGTCATCTGTGCCTCCGCCTTTGTTACCCACTGTCATAGCGCCAACTGTCAATTTAACACAAACTAGAGTCACCTGGGAAGACGGAACTTCAACTGAATAACTGCCTCGATCGGACTGGCCGATGGCCATGTCTGCGAGGCAGTTTTGGAACTGCTGATTGATGAAGGAAGGCCCAGCTCACTCCGGGGGGTGCCATCCCTAGGCAGGTGAGCCCGGGCTGTATAAGCTAGTCGAGCAAGCCAGTAAGCAGAGTTCCTGCACGACTGTGGTCTGTAAGATGAAATAGACTATCTTCTCCAAGGTGATTTTGGTCAGTGTCACAGCAACAGAAAGCCTACGAGAACACCCCTGACCCAGTCTACTCTTCTGTCAGACAGAGCGCACGAGCTACAAGAGCCACCGCCTGGGGAGGGTGTCTGTGTGGATATGGAGCACTCACTGTGCTGGTGGTGAACTCTGGCGGGTTGTCGTTCACATCTGTCACCGTGATGATGGCAGTGGCTGTGTTTGAGAGGCCATAGTTAAGGTTCCCTTCCATGTCAGTGGCCTGGACGATGACTGTGTACTGCTGGACTTTCTGAAAGGCAAGGACAACAGGTCAGTCTGGGTTCAGTGGATGGGGCATGCAGGTTTCCTCAGAGGGGTGTGCCCAGGGCTGCCTGGAGCTCCTTGAGGCTGTGGGTGATAGTGACAGGAAGGGGCCAACTGTGAGGCCTTCGGTGGGTACAGGTCACCAGCGCTGCCTTTAGTAGGGGGAGCAGAGAGGATGGTCTGTAAGATGATGGGTCAGACTGAGGGATGCCATTGCTGGAGTCAAAATGAACTGCAGGTCAGGACTTGAGTAGGAAGGGGATGACAGGGTCACAGGTGGTGAGACAAGTGGTTTGGGTTTGAGAGTGCTACCCTGAAGGAGCAGTAAACACCAGGTGTAGGTGTGAGCTTTGAGAGGCAAGGGATGGTGGAACGATGCTCTTTACGAGGCACGGAAGGAGCTGCACGGTTGTCTTCCACTCTCTGCCTGCACTGAGAGGTAACAGGGCTGAAAGCCCTTCACACACTCCAGACCAGAGGTTGCATAATGACAGCCAGGTGGGAAGCTCTGTGGGAACCCCACTTGCCTGTCACTGGCACCAAAGGGGTGCCACTGCCCTCTGGAGTGTCCTCCAAGTGACTTACAGTCTCTATTCCTGTTCCTCTGAGAGGTTAGGGGAAAAGGCCACTTCCCACCATATGACTCAGGGAAGGATGTGTAAGTTTCATATAGCAGCTCCACAGGAAATTATAAATAGCAGATGGGTCACCAAACTTCCTCTATTTATTCATCCATCATCCCTCCATCTACCCACTCATCCCTTCACCCATCCCTCAACCCATTCATCCATCCCTCCATCCATCCCTTCACCCATCCCTCCCTCCCTCCATCCATCCCTCTACCCATCCATCCATCCCGCCACCCATCCCTCAACCCATCCATCCATCCTTCCATCCATCCCTCCACCCATTCCTCAACCTATCAATCCCCCATCCATCCCTCTATCCCTCCTTCCATTCATTCATCCCTCCACCCATCCCTCAACCTATCAATCCCCCATCCATCCCTCTATCCCTCCCTCCATTCATTCATCCCTCCACCCATCCCTCAACCTATCCATCCATCCATCCCTTCATCAATCCCTCCACCCAGCCATCCATCCATTCCTCCACCCATCCCTCAATCTATCCATTCCCCATCCATCATCCCTCCATCCCTCCCTCCACCTACCCATCCATCCCTCCACTCATTCATCCCTCAACCTATCCATCCATCCATTCATCCATCCCTCCTTCCTTCCCTCTAATCCCTCCATCCATTCATCCCTCCACCCATCCTCAATCTATCTATTCCCCATCCATCCACCCCTCCATCCATCCCTCCACCCATCCATCCATCCCTCCACCCATCCTCAATCTATCCAGTCCCCATCCATCCATCCCTCCATCCCTCCCTCCACCCATCCATCCATCCCTCCACCCATCCTCAATCTAGCCATTCCCCATCCATCCACCCCTCCATCCATCCCTCCACCCATCCATCCCTCCACCCATCCCTCAATCTAGCCATTCCCCATCCATCCACCCCTCCATCCATCCCTCCATCCCTCCCTCTACCCACCCATCCATCCCTCCACCCATCCTCAATCTAGCCATTCCCCATCCATCCACCCCTTCATCCATCCCTTCACCCATCTCTCAACTCATTCATCCATCCCTTCACCCATACCTCCCTCCCTCTCTCCCTCCCTCCCCCACCCATCCATCCCTCCACTCATTCATCCTTCAACCTATCCATCCATCCATTCATTCATCCCTCCTTCCTTCCCTCCCTCTAATCTCTCCATCCATTCATCTCTCCATCCATTCATCCCACCACCCATCCTTAATCTATCAATTCCCCATTCATCCACCCCTCCATCCATCCCTTCACCCCTCCCTCCACCTACCCATCCATCCATCCCTCCACTCATTCATCCCTCAACCTATCTATCCATCCATTCATCCATCCCTCCTTCCCTCCCTCTAATCTCTCCATACATTCATCTCTCCACCCATCCCTCAACCTATCTATGCATTCATCTATCCCTCCATCCCTCTCTCCATCCATCCCTCCATCTGTCCCTCCATTCCTCCACCTATCCCTCCCTCTGTTCATCTTCCCACCCTCCTTTCTTTCCCCCTCCCATCCTTCCATCTCTATTCCTTCATCTTTCTGTCCCAGACACAGACAACCTGGCAGCTGGAGATGGATGAATGGACCAAGCCCAGCCCTGCTGCCCACTGGTGGCACTGCCGGTTGAATGAGTGGAAACGAACGGTTCTTTCAGGCTGCTGAGCTTTGAATATTCACTGATAGTTACCCAGAGTCCTGAGTGTGACCCTGACACTCTGTGGCCTGGATGCCACCCACCTCTGTGGCCTCATCATGAATCGGACTCACTGCCCCCAAAGCACGCTCGCAGCGTTCTCTCTTGGCCCAGGTCCTCGACTCTACGCTCTCATCCAGCCCATTCTTCACAATTCTAGTGTTGCATTGATGTGTCTTGTCTGTGTACCTCACCAGACTGAGCTCTGGACACCATGGCTGTCTTTTTTGCTACCGTGTCAGCAGGTCAGGCACAGGGTCCAGCCAGAGCAGGTGCTCAGAGATGTGAGCTGGATACTGTTAACGATGGCAGTGACCACAGGTGCTGAGGCGGGACCAGCTGATCCACAGAGGGGAACCCGGACGCTCAGGAGTCTGGAACATTTAGGAGCCAGGGACAGAAAGTAGAGGTGGTGTCAAAGGTCCCCAGGTCAGCAAACTATGGCTGAATCTGCCTGCCCCTGCCTACTATTCTAACTAAAGCTTAATTGGCACTGTGGGGTATCACAGAGCTGGTTCTTACAGGAGGATGGGGCAGCTCCTTTCAGAGAGACCCTGGAAGGGGTGCAGTGAGCTGGGGATAAGAGTCAGGGCTCTGGGGGTGAGACTTATGGTGCAGAGGACAGTGAGCCCTGGGGCTCGGGGCTGGGGTGAGAGCAGGACAATAGAAGGTGCTAGAAGATTCCAACTCGGGGCCCTGGTTCCTGTCCACTCATCAGAGGCCAGTGTGAGCTATAAAGCGGTGGACTCAGGGCTCTTTCCTTTATACTGATGGGAACACTGACTCCTTCAAGGGCCAGGAATTCCTTGATTTCCTCAGAGCCAGAGTGAGGAGCTGGGTCTGTGTTCAGGCCTTTGTTGTGAGCAGAAGATGACACACTGGAGGTGTAGCACATGCCAGGATGTCCTGTGGGTCTCCCTTGGAGTGCGGGATGGATGCGAGTGACACAGAGCTGGCCTGCGTCACCTCCACTGGCTGCTCTTGGCAGTGGTGAGGTGAGGACTTGCCTTCTAAGCACACATAGATGAATATGCACCCACTCCTCAGCTGCTGCCTTGGGCAGCCTGGAGCTGCCAGCATCAGGGGTCCCTTCTCTGAGGGAACCCAGCAGGACTCTATGCTCTGCCCCTCACAGACTGCGGTCCCTCTGCGGCTCCTGCTCTGCAGTGTGTCAGCCTGGGAGCTGTTTCTGTGGTTGTCATCTGTCTTTCCACTGTGATGCTCTCCTAGAAGGAGTCAGTTGGACACACCCAACAACGGCACAGGGTGAGGGTTAGGGAAGGATCACCAGAGAGGAGGGAAAGGTGAGCCCTTAGAGAGCCATAGTCTCCCCTTGTATTGAGCATGCTGTTCTTCAGTCTGTCACAACCTGTGCCTGGCTACTGCCCTCGGATGACACCAGAAAGAAAGAAACAAACACAGAGGCATATGCTTACATATGAATGTGTGCTTGCATGCAAGCATGTGTGTGCACACAAATGCACGTGTGTGCCTGTAGGAGCATGTGTATACCTGTATATGTGTGTATTCATGTGTGCAGACACCTGCAAGTTTTTGCATCTATGCATACGCGTGTACATGTGTGTACAGCTGCATGCCACTAGAGGGCGGGCTGGGCTTGATTTGGGCAGCAGGACTGCAGTCCTGGGAGGGAAGCTGGTCTGGTGAGATGGAAGAGACACTGCAGAGACCCAGGAGAGGCCTGTCCTGTCCTGGCTGGGGCTTCTGACCTCCAGGAAAGATCAGCCAGGCCCCAGGATTGATGGTGGTGCCGGCTTCATGGGGCGGCAGAGTCAAGTTCCTGTGTGGCTTGTGGTTGGCACAGTGCAGTTTTTGGATCTAATGAAATGGTTTTCAGGGCTGAGGGGTGTGGGCAGGGTCTGAGCGTGGGCTCAGGAGGTGGTCCTGGAAATAGCTGCTACAGGGGTACCTGGCCCACGCTGATGGAGGTGCCTGGGGGTTCTATGGCCTGTGAAAATTTGTTTTTGGGTCCTAAAACACATTTCATCATTTACATGAGGCAGATGGGGAGCTCCTGAGGGATGGCAGGTGACACTTGGTTTTTGGTGGGGTGAGGGTTTTGAGGCCTTTTGTGCTCTGAGAGGTTGAAACCTGTGTGTTGTGTACCTGGCAACCTGCAAAAATCTGCATCAGTGGGCACAGTGTCCTGTGTGCCAATGGCCCGCTGCATCTTGGGAGCCCAGAGTTGGGGCTGGTCAGGTATGTTCTAGTCTACTGGCTACCCTGGGACTCTTGTGGACCTGTGTTTGGCAACTTGCGCCCCCATATTGCCCATTCATGGATCAGAAGGAAGTGCTGAATGGGCAGTGGGCATCTAGTGTGTCCAGGATTGCTGGACAACTGCTGTCCAGTGGTTCCCCCTCCCCAACTCCACTGGGCACAGAGAACATGGCAGATGTCCCTGGAGCTGGTTCCCGACCAGCAGTGGAGCCACAGTGAATCCATTATAAACTGATTTGACCATTTTCAGGTCTGAGATCAGGAAGACAACCACAGGCAGCTGTCTCTGGGGCTTCTGCCCGCCTCCCAGCAGCCCAACATGCAAATTCTGCAGAGCAATCATCAATAATACAGTGGCTGGCCTGCCCTAGAAAGCATCAAGCTTCCTCTGCACACCCCTGCACGCTTCCCCGTGCTGACCACATGGCTAGCCATG